TAATGGTGGCCTCTTTGTCAGGCCACACTATTAAAAACCTCAAGGCTTTTGCCATCACTTTAACTCCTTTTTTAATAATCTTGTTCACTTGGTCTTCTGTTGCACCAAACCTGTTGAACAGATGTACAACCCCAACCTTTCTTTCAGTCTAGAATACAGTAAATCCTGATGTTTAGAACCTCCTGGAGAAAAGGAAATTGGTTTCTATTTTGAGGAGGTTCAATATATCAGGGGTAAAAAATATTACAGTGTTTAATTGGAAAGGAGAAGAACGTCAGTTTTGTTTTGAATTATTAGGAGATTGTATAAACAGAGTCCTCCACAAGTTCCAAAAAAAGGGCATCCACTTTCAAGCATGTTCAATTTTTAATACTCATGGACTGGCTTTTTGCATACATTCCGTTAAGCCCTTAGCCTCTGATAAGTCCCCCTTCTAATATGAAAGTGCCCTTTCCAAAGCACTGAGCACTGTCACCATGTTATGAAGCTTCATTATAGGGGTAATTAACTTACCTATAAGCCAAATCTTTGTTTTGCAAGCCAAGACGTAGTTTCATCAAGATCATCAACACCTTATCATCGGGTTTTAACTTCTTACAAACGGTTGGAAACTGATAACCCCCTGACACAATCCTCACAATCCAGTGAAATATTGACCAGCTTCTAACTCCTGGAAATTAATATTACTTACTAATTGAATAGAACAGCTTGGGACTCTTGCTCCACAATCTTGACATATCTTTTAGTATAAAACGGCTCAAAACGTATCTTTCTTCTACGTAGGCGCTAGTTTATGGATAGCCAGTGTCCTTTTTACAGCTTAAGGTACTTTCAGTTCAACAAAAAATCTGGTTTAGTAGTGAATGGAACAGTTTTTACAGCATCTCCAATATTAAAAAATAATAATAAACACAACCTTGAGATATATGCACACTTTTTAAAACATATTTTGTTTCCATCGCATTTTGTGACAGGAATATCTATAGGTTTCTATTGCATGGTTCACTTCTTAGAATTTCCTAGACAAATTGTTAGGGGTAAGTAAATTTAAAAAAATAATTTTATATTTTGCAACACTGCAATAGGTGCCTTCCCATGCCAGTAGCCACTGACATTATTTCCACATTTTCAGGTTTGAAACACCATGCACACAGATTTTTGTCAGTAATCTCTTGAATACAGCACATCATATTCGTTTAAAGCTTTAGTAACTCTGAATAAGAGTCAGAGAAAAAGACAATTCATACCTGTGTAAAATTTAAGTTGCTTTTTACTGAGATTCATGACTGTGAATGAAGCTTTTTGTAGTTCTTCCTCAACCTCTTTCTTCTCCTTGATGAGCTGTACACACTTCTGGTTAAAGTATATAGCTTGCCTCTTTAACAGTTCATCTCTTCCATCTCCACTGTCAAGAGGGGAAGCATATGCTTCTTCTTGGACATCTACGGGGGATTCAGTTATTATCACAGCCTAAAAAGTAATCATATGGAAATAAAAGGATAACAATTACTATGATAAAAGCAAATGAAAGGTCAAATCATACGCTCACACGTAATGCACGAGAAATTCTTGTCCACAGTAAACGAAGCAAAAGGAAATTGATTTAAACTTACCTGTTGGCAGCTAACTTCTTCAAAGGGGCTTTCAACATCCATTGGCTCAGCAGTAGAAGAAGGAACAGAATTTGAACCTGTATTAAGAGATTGTCTGTTTTGAAATCTTTCTAAACGTTTTATTTTTTTTAATTTGTCTTCCAGTTTCTCTGTTGATGTGTAACCCATATTCAAATTCGGGGTATAATCAGGATGTCGTGGATCCTCAGTACTGGGCGCACCTTCACAAAAATACAGTTGAAAACTGAAGGTTGATTACACAAAAACGCTAAGAATGAGAAAATCAAAATACATAGGAATTCAAATCAAAACGTTTTCATTTAACACAGATAAGCTTACCAGTAACGAAATGATTTTTGCAAACTCGATCAGTGTTGCAGGGGATCCATGGCTTCCGAGGGTCCTCTGGATCTGCTCGCCGTATATTTCTGAGCCACTTTTTTCGTCTTTCTTTGTCGTTTTCCGACGGTAAACGAAAGAAACCTTTGTCGCCACTCCACCTTGCTGTACAGTTTATAACACAACAGGAATGTACCATTGTTTAGTCAAGAGAAGTCGATCAATGTTGACGTTCGAGAAGCACTGACAGAGAGCTTAAAGACTGCTTCTTGCCACACAATCCCAGCAATCGTTGCGGGCAAATGTAAACATTGACGTCACGAAAGATTCGCCTATAGTAAGAAGTGATTCCATTTGCTTTTATTGAAATGGATGGATGAAAATTGATCACTCTTTTTGATATACAAATATGTCCAGTGACATACAAACATGTCAAAGAGAAACTAAAGTCAACTGTTACTAATAGCTGATTCTTAAGACGCGGCACAAGCCATTAATAAAATGGATTTACAAAGAGAGATACGAATTTCTCTAACCGAAACCACTGAGCTGAAACTTATGTCACGTTAATTAGCCCCTTCGAAACGTGGAATTTCTAATGAGTGCCGGACACCTATTTTAGTCGATGAAAGTAATTAAATACGGCAGTTGATTCAGACGTGGGATATGATTGTGCCGAATTTAACTCCGTTTGTTTTAAATATTCCCAGTCTTTAGAAAAAATTTTCATCCTATATGGATATAAGAGGATTCTATAACTAATGCATTATATTCGGCACATGTGAAATGCGACTTGTAAATCAAGTATTGAACCTAAGTTGAATTTTCGACTGTTTCAGTGGCAGATTCGACAAAGTCGTATTTAATTTGAACTAACTGTCGAATTTAATTGTTTCAGACGTCCCAACTCAAAGCAGTTACCACATTATGTTACTAGCTATATGCACCACACACTTAAAAAAAGAGAGTAAAAAAGAGATTTAAAAAAAAGGAAAAAAAGAAAGGTTACGAATAATTTGCTTCATGGGAATTCGAACCCGGACCCTCAGAGTCAGTTAGAACTAGAAGTTAACGCCTCTATCCACTGGACCTGAACGTTTATGAACTATCGATCGCGCGGCTACCGACTGAACCGTATGACCATACGATTCTCTCCCTGCTCGTAAGGTGTCTTTTCATCATGTCGGGGAAAACATTACCACAACAATGTTCTTCACTATTTCCGTTATAAATCAGGGCAGTTGATAGCCAATCAGATTTGAGAATTTTGTCATAGTTATGATGATGATGATGATGATTGTTATTATTAACATCTCAAGGTTTCTTTCAGATAATCAAAAAATTATAGCC